AATATGTTATTAAGAAAAAACAGCAGAAAAATAATGTACTTAGAAAGAGGAAAAACAATGTTCAGCACATGAAAGTGTCGGGGGGAAAAAATGCTAAGCCATATCAGTTCTTGATTTATCCATCTTATTGCATATAAAAACAAGTGAGTTTGTTCACTGTTGCAATTGACAGTAATTCCTCTTTCACACATTTGATTGGAAAAGTAATAAAGATTTGTCTTTTTCACACATTGTATCCATACAAATTTAAGACTAGAGTATTTTAGTGTTGCGCTCCCACACCACTCTACCTCTTTCTTACTTTTGGATTTAATACACAGTTCTTCCTCTAGTGTTTATATAAAAAAAAGGAACTACCAAAACAAGATAGAGCAATGACTAGTATGCTACGAACACAATAAGCACATTTAACACAGAAAGCAGACACACTACATATTAGTAAGTGAATTGTGGATTCCATCTAATATATCAGAAGCACTAGCTTCGGAGCAAAAGCACCAAACACTGAAAAGGATAAATAAGATAAATGAAACGACAACAGCAAACAGTCAAATTATCATTGATCGCATGCTAGTTCAATAAAATACTTAGCATAATCTTGAGAATGACCGCACCTTGTTTGTAGTAATCATCACAAGTCAACTGCCAAGCACTGCACAATTGAGGCACCATTAGGAACAACAAGAATCATATCCGACCACAAAATGTTCCCACTCAACCCTCCATCTTTATCCTTCCACACTTCGATCTCCGCACACATAATGTCAACCTCCTTACCCCTCCCTTTGCCTTCCCACACAACACACAACCTGTCATCAAAATTCACCATTGTGGCACCACACAGAAACTTAGGCAACCCCTTATCCACCCCTTTTAATTCCTTCCACACATCTTCCTTCACATCATACCCTCTAATCTTACCCAAATAATCATAACAATACAACAGCCCTCCCACCACTGCCGCCCGTCCCCTCCAACCCAAATCAAGCCTTTTCGACACACTCCCCCATTCACATCCCCCAACATCATACACCACTCCTCCCCTATCCGCCATTGCATACATTTTCTCACCCACAACTGCACTAGCATGCATCCACTTATCCCTAACTTCAATCGGACTGGGCAACGCAGTCCACAACCCCGTCATTGGATCAAAAACCTCAGCCCAATTCATCGACCTGGCCCAATTATCAACAACACACCCACCCATTACATAAATCTTCCCATTCACAACACCAGCTGCTGCAAACTCCCTACCAATTCTCATTCTGGGGCCCATTTCCCAACAATTCAACCTACAATCATAAACCCACACGTTATTCGATGGAATATCACCAATAGACCCACCAATCAAATATATTCTTGAGCCTAAAACTGCATAAGCCGGTCCAATCGGCTTAGTGGGTATTGAAGAAAGTGGAAAAAGCTTTCTGGGTTTTTCTGGGTTTGTGAAAGTAAGGTTGTGGAAGAGAGTATACCAGTGGAAAGTGGAGTTTACACGGATATTAAGGTAGAGGAAGGTTTCAGTAGTACGGAGGATTGATCGGGTGGTGTAGAGTGCAGTGGAGCTTAGGATGCAACGCCAAGATTTGGAGACGAGGGAGAGAACGGGATGATGGGAACGTGGAACTCTAGCTAAGCACTGTAAGGCAATGTCGTCTGGGAGGTTAGGGATGAGCTGAGATTGTGAGCTAAGATCCGCCATTTTTATGAAAGAGAAGCTGTGGATTCTTCTATGGAGGTCAATCCCAATTTGGAAAGGGTTTTGTTTGGGGAAGGAGAAGGAGATTGTTTATCCAGATAAATGTACAAACATGTAAGCAAACCAAACAAACAAAAGTACGATTCAATTTGTGTGTCTAGTTTTAATTTACGCTAAATTAAAGAAGGGATAAGGGTGGTTCAAATATGCTATCGAACTTCCAAGAAAATGTTTAAAAGTTTGACTCATTTATAATATTACCGTCAAAGAAAAATCTCATTCATATCATTAATTTATAATGTGATTTTGCATAAACATTTTGACACATGATTAATTCTAATCTGATCACGTCATCAATTTTTTAATAAAATAAAAATAAAAATAATAATAATATAAATAAATTAAACTTTTAACTGATGCGATCAATAAGTATTTTCCGAAAATTTAATAAAATATTTGAGCTCTTTCCTATTAAAGAATAATCAAACTTTATCCTGGAACTTTAATATTATCTAAAGAGACAAAGTCTACAACTTATGTTCTACTAATTAAGATTCATTAAATTATAAAATTATATTATTGTGGTCGAGTTAAGATAGAAAAAGATTTCTTCAATTGATACTCGATTTATCTCATTCATTCAATGTCTTTGTATTTGATATTTCATTTCTAAAGCTAGATAAAATATTTTTTTTCAACATTAATCTCTCTCCTGATATATTTTAGACGCTACATAATATCATCATCTTTTCATCCTATAAAAATATTTTTTTCACTCTTTAAATAATTTTCTAATTATAATATAATCCATATGAAAGTGTTAGATAGGTTCATATATCACCTAACTAATACTCCAGATATGTAACGTGCATAACTAACTAAATTAAATGCATTGACTTTTTAAAATTCAAACATCTTAATAACTTATTTTCGCTAATCAAGCCAAACTACTATTCTCTCTCTCTTTTTTCTTAAACCCCTCCCAATCCCTTGAATACACAACCTTAGAAATAGGAATGGAACGCTTATCAAAGCTATTATCGATTAGTTTGATTTAATTTTAAAGTTCATTAAATTACCTTATCGATTGTCGATTCATCAACATGCTAAATTATTATAAAACTATTAAGATATTAACTTATTAATTATTGATTGCTATTTGTATGATTTAACGGTTAAAGTTTGACATCAAAAAAATTATTGAAAATCACGTAGAAAGAAAAGGACAAACTCTTAATGATGATAGGATATTTGTTTCTTTGAGAGTGACAAAGGCAGTCCTAAAACTGCTCCGAAATTCAGATTTCTTGTCCACTTACGCAAAACTTTTGTAAAAAAGACATAATAATAATAATTTTTGAAAATTATAGTAAATAGCCTATAAAACCAATCTCCTACTCCAAGTCACAAGCTTTAGTTTAGCTCTTCCTTACTTGCTGATAGAGTGGCGGATTCAGAACTTTTAGTTCGTGAGTTTCTACCAATATCAAATTTAAAAAATTAAGGGTGGCAACAAAAGCCTACATGGTGACCAAGGGGATTCTAACCTCAACCAAGAAGGGAGTAAAGCTTAACAAATGCCAATAGATCAATTATACACTTCGTTTATGAGTTCCCAACTCATAATTCTTATAAACTTGCTGGATTTCTCAATACTAAAACAGGATCAGCGCAAAAGTTATTGGGTTCCCAAGAACCTCCAGCCCAACACCCTGAAGCTACCCCCTGCTTGATTGGCCCCTCAAAGAACAGAAACCAGTGCACAAGAGTTGATAGGGAGAAGTAAACCAGTGAGTATAGAGCATGGAAGAGATTTAGAGGCTACGGAGTACCCTGACCATGGCTGAATCACTACCCACAGCGACCTGCATTTTTATGAGTTACTTTCATTTCTCAACCCAAATCAACTTCAGCTATGTGTACGCTCTTTGCTGTTACGAAGTAAAGAGACCATATCATCAGTATTTCTTGTACACTAACAAGCATTCTCTTCTACTCTAGGGGGACAAGAGTCGAGGGACGAAAGAGAGTGATTTGTTTCCCCAGTTAGAATTCTAGTTCTGAACTTCTTCAATGTTTATACCGGACTGTCAATTAATAACCACGAAGTTAAACACCTTTAGTCAATCAACCAAAATACACACGGATATGATCAACACATGTTGAAAGAAAATTTATAATCAACCAAATATGCCTTTGCCATGGGCCTTCCCTCATCTTCAAAACTCTTAAGCAAGATTTCAGAAGAGTGAAGAAAATCAATGCATCATGAGTAATCTTGAGTCAAAACGAACAAAAAGGCACTAACCAGTATATCAAGAACCGAGAAACACCTAAAATGCCAATGAAGATTATGGTTACCATCATAAGGTAATCTTCACATATATGAAAAGAATAAGTCTTCTAATAATGAAATGAATATGATGCTGAAGTTATCCAAGAAAATGAAGGTACTAAGTAGTCTTTAGAACCTACAACACAAACGTCAAATGCATCCTGAGGGAATATAATGATAAAAATTCACTATAATGAAACAAGGGAAATTATGAGATGGAACTTGGCTGATATGGATTATGCAGAATCTAACATAGGCGAAAGATAGCTATTTAAGTAAATAATAGGAGAAGCAGACACTGAAATAAATGCAATGTTAGTTCATGCAATGGTATTTAACCAAGAGAAATAGGAAGGTTGAAAGAAATTACGTGCCGTTTTCTCAACATAGTAGATGCTCTCCAGGTTCATGAAAGACTCTGAGGAAGTTAAGATTTTGGAAACAAGTGCTGTCTCAGTAAGGAAGAAAAAAAATCTCATCTTGTTGACACCGTTGTAGCTAAATATAACTGCTCTCATTTCTTCTTCTCTCTCCCTCAGGTACCACGGGTTAACCCAATTTAAGGTGACTTGCATCCGTTATGTCCTTTTGTGATTGTGGTTCTCTCTCTTATTACATCAGATCCGTGACAAGCAGGCGCCAAACATTAGAGTGTACTTAAAAATTGTGAAATGCAGGGCAAAGTGACACAGCTGCGCTAAATCAAGCATTTCAATATCCAAGCTTTTCTCCCCCTTTTTTCCCTATAAATAAAGAGATAATTTATCTCAAGATCCAATCTAACACGGAGTATTTGATCAACTTCACCAGTTCATGTATCAGTGTCTTAAGGAGCAATCATACATCATTATCAGTAATAAACAAGAATCGCCCTCGTTAAGAGATGCAATCACATCATTGAGGTTCCAAACATCAAAACAATAATCACTTTTTCTGTTGTCAAACCAAAAAAAGATGACACAATTTCGGAAAGATAATGTCCTCAATTACCAGTTTCAAAAATGAATGTAAAATGTTGGCACAATAGCTGCCAGAAATACAATTAAAACTAAAAACAGTAATGGTCTCGCCGTTAGCTTGGAAAACATTCAGTGAATACTGTTTGTAAACCAAGAAATCTATGTATGAGAGAAAACAATAAGCTCACTCTATCTTAGTTTCTGCTTTTGATGTATAACTCATATACCTCAGGGATCTCGTCCCTTACGGGAAGTACATAATTTTCTAAAAACTCCCGCTCAGAACACTTGATAACTGTATAAAAACATGGCACTTTCTTTATCACCTGTTTCTCCTTTAGAAGTTCCCAGATTTTAATCCTGGGCAAGACCCGCTTCTCCAAACTGAACATTATAAGTGTGGGATGCCTCACTATGTAACTAGATTCATACCCAAGCTCCTCCATGAAAAACTTCAATACATTTCTGAGCTTAACCTCAGATGTAGTCAAACATAAAGGAAGCCTTTGCACCATTGTAATAATATCAGAATCAGACCAACCAAAACTCCTGAAAATTCCAAGTTTCATTTCTAAACTCGGCTTACTAAGCGAGGAAAGCATTTCCACTCCATAATAAAACATTCGTGAATCCCTACAAATGCAAAACTCCTTCTCCACTCTTTGGACTATATCCTCAAGCCACTCAAGCTTTTGAACAAAAATTATCGGATTCCTAAGAATAAGCTTTTCAAGGTCCAAACTGGAACAACCATGATTTAGAAAAAACAATATATTACTTGCCATTACTCTATCGAGACGATAATGAAGCAATGCAGGAGATCTCTTAAGAACTTTAGCTACAGTCTCATCTTTACCCAATAACTTCCTAAGATATTCAAGACTAGGTTTAATTCTAGTATCGAGACCTGTTCTAAGAAAAGGTCCACTTTTTGAAATAACCCTAACTAAATCCAACCCAGATAAACCAAATTCTTGAAGAACCCTAACTTTGGGTTCAAGGGTTTTCCCCACATCAGCAAACAACAATGTGGGTGCCGGATAAACCAAGATTTTTATCTGGGTGTTGTCTAAACCGATTTGTTTGAAGAAATTGAGAACTAAATTAGGCTTGTTGTTTCCGGGTTTCAAGCAAGTTACCTTGGAGCTAGCAGAATGGCTTTCTCTGTGGAGAGGCCAAGTGAATTCACTAGAAATTCTGGCATTAAATTGGGTGTAGTTATGGAGGAACAAGAGAGTTCATGTTTGAAGCAATACATGGAAATGAAATGCCTTTTTCCACCATTTTTACCAACTCCAAACATCTCTGCATAAATGTAGTTCAATTTTGATAGCCTAGAACTCCAATTTATAGCATCCCAATTTACTCCATTCGAATTTTTTTTATAGGAGAAAGAGGCAAAAGGATGAGATAAAAATGAGGTAGAGGTATACAAATTAGTTTTGGTTTTGAATTAGCAAAATGTGTGTGCTGTTTGCTTTCATCGTTTGTTAAACTGAACTCTTATATACTCTAAAATTAAGGGAAAGGGTCAGATAAGTCTGTTTTTATTTTTGTTGAGAGATTGATTGGTCAAATTATTTTTAAAATGTAATTAATTAGTTATGAGATTAAATTATATTTTAAAAATCTTTTAATCTTTTATAAAATATAAAAAAGTACATTTTTTTTTCAAACCAAATCATTTAAAATAAAAATATCTTTCATCTTGCTCGTCTATTCTCTCTTCTTTTCTTCCTTCTTTGGGAGATTGTTCTTCTTCTTCCTTAGAATTTCAGAAATTCGTCGTTACTCTTCCTCTATAGTTGTTACTCTTCCTCTCCAGTCCTCCATTACTCTCTCATCTTTCTGAACTGTAATCGTATTCGGCTAGAAATGGGTAAGTTATTTTTTTGAAATACTTTATAATTTTTGAAGTTTTTTTCTTGAATTAATGAACAATAAAATCTTCTGTAAGTGTAAAAAATGATAATCGACTTAATGGTGTGTATTATTTATCATTTTTTTAAAAGAAAATCAGCCAACTCAAAAAATCCTTATTTTGAGAAAATGTATATGTATTGTTATCATTCAGTGAATAGTCGTTTTTTGTTGTTGTTGTTTTTTTTTGGTCATTTTGTTGATATGATTTTAGAAATATAGTGTTGTTCAGGCGTCCAAAATATATTTCATTTGTTCAAATATTTAGCGTATGTTGCCACATTTTAGTGACATGTTGGTCATTTATTGCCACATAAAATTCAAATGTTGCAATAATCTCTACAGATGTGTCAACATATGATGCATCTATTGCTACATAACATGTATATGTTGCGCAACAACAAGTACAAATGTGACAACACAATGTTAATTTATCGCAACAGACTACCCATCGGTTGCAACATACTGCTATTATATTTTATAATGAATTGTAAAATCTCAATATTTTTTTATTTACCTTGTAGATGAAATGATAAAAAAAGCTTCATCCATAACAACAACTCAATCTTCTAACATGAAATACTCTTTTTGTCTATGCGAAGAATGTGAGCAGCAACATGATTATTTTATTAGTCGTGTTAAAAAACTCACTGATATTTTAAAGAAAATATCTCATACTATTGATGTGCAATGATCCAAGAAGACTTCACAACCTTTGAAATGTAGGAGATTGAAAAAATCTATTTCTCAAACACTTTGTATGATTATTGAGAAGAAAGAAAAGGAGAAGAAGACAAAGAAGGAGAAGGAGTAGAAGGAGAAGGAGAAGAATGTAAAGGAGGAGAAGGAAAAGGAGGAGAAGGAGAAGAAGAAGAACAAAAGGAGGAGAAGGAGAGGGAGAAGAAGGAAAATGAGGAGAAGGAGAAGTAAAAGAAGAAGAAGACAAATAAGATGGAGAAGGAGAAGAAGAAGGAGAAGAAGAAGGAGAAAGAGAAGGTGAAGCAGTAAGAAAAAGCGAAAGCGAAAAAGAAAGGGAAGACAGTCGAAGTTGTCAGTTGTGATGTGAAGCGACAATATCCATTTGAAGCTTTTAACATTGACAGCGAGGGTCCAGCTGAACTAATGTCATCCTTCTCGCAATGGATAAACGAGGGTCTTTACAAGCATCATGCAAAAAAGTAAGTAAAGTATGACCGTTAAACTATTATTAGAATTTCTTATTGTTGTCCAATAAATAATGATTACACAATTGCAGAGGAAACAAGGAGGATCAATACTTAGCCAATTTCTCAAAACTTGAATTTGACCAACTTGATTTAGTAGTTGCATTTTCAATGAATAAGGACTGGTTCTATGTAATGTCTCAACCCAATAAGTGCTGGAATGATGAGGTAAATCCATGCACACTTTTATATGTATTGTTTAGTACATGAACAGTGTCCAACTCATTAATTTGGTCTTTTTCTTCTCCTTCATCCCCCATTCGATACTTCTTTTGATATGACTTTCATCAACAGTGTCCAACTCCTTAATTTTGTTTGTCAATTGGAGAATAACGAACTCGGATCATATATCAACATCTTCACAATCCCTCCATCTAAAGAAGTTGCATGAATTCTCCTAAAATACAAACCATTAAGAAATAAATTTTATTAAAAAAATAAAGAGATCTAAAGTCTCCAAATATTTTATAAATAAACATACATACACGATATCGTGGACAAGACCAAAATCTGCGACCTGGATTGTCTTTTGACCATGAAGTTTGCACTGAAGTAGATCTCCATGTTTGCAATACATTTTAACATTCAACATAGTATCATTTTCATCACCACAGATTCGACTTAGTTAACATTTGACATCATACCAAATCATTGTATTTCTCCGCTTCTTCACCTGTGGTTCATGAACTTGGGCATCTTCTATTTGATTATTTGCTGCTATGCATTTGTGAACCCTTCGCAATGCTTCAACATCTGTCTTTGTTTTTCGCTTGTACACTGTAACAAAAATGTCGTGATGCTATTATAAATTATAATCTTAAGTTGGCTTATTAGATGTTGTTTTCCATTGAAATATCATTATAGTAAACATACCTCTAGTTTTGGCTTGCTCATCCTGTTGAACTTCCATGGTTAATTGAAGTGCCCTAAAGGTAATTGACTTCTGTATGAAAATAATTGTATTTGTATATTTAGTAGTTTATTTTGTCACAGGGTGTGCTAGTATAGTATGAATTTAAACATTTAATATGTTTTTATGAATAATAAACAACACATTATTTTAATGAAAGCAGAACACAGGCGATGTGACTCAAAATGTGAAGTTATTCTGTACAGATGAAACTGTGGTATGTGACGAGTATAGTATTCGAAAAATATTGAATAACTTGATTAAGGTGTTTGTTTTGTAGAATTATGTTACAGTGATTTGGGAGTGTCTTAATTCCTTTTAAATGAGTTTGACGAAGTGGTGGCAACATTACAGTATACAACTTTTGCGGAGAGTTGTGAACATAATCAGAAAGTTCCGATGTATTTGAAAAGTTGTGATTGTTCACTAATGGTCGTTCGCTCCTGATATGTCGCTATATTTTGTGTTATTATTTTTAATTAAGGGTTGTGATATCGTATTGGTTAAGTCTAGCGTGATTCTAGTGTTTTAGAGTATCAGTGATTCGTGTGAATTTAGATTTTAGTATAAGAATGCCAACAACAATTTTTTTGTAAGTAGTAACATTTGAATTAGATAGTAAACTAACAATTACACATTCAGACAAAGTATTAAATACGATTCAAACATTGGATTATTATTTGTAAATGTGCACATTGTTTAGTTACATATTACATAATTCAGAAAGACATCTATTTTTGACGGATTTTGGTTTGTTCGGTTTGACTTGGGACGCTCTTGCAGTTGTTTTCTTGGCCCTCTTTCTGTACGTCCTCACTCTTTTGACTTTGTCATCAGCAATAATTGGTGCTTGCTCTTCAGCTTGGTGTGTTTCTTTGGCAATTATGTTGTGTCTGTTGAATTGGGACACTCCTGCTGTTGTTTTCTTTCCGCTCTTTCTATACCTCATCGTTGATTTGACTTCACCATCAACAATAATTGGTGCTTGCTCTTCAGCTTGATGTATTTCTTCATTAATTATGTTGCGTCTATTGTTGGAATCATTCATATCAATTCGCACAAGGAAGTTGAATCGTTTGTCTTTACTCAACATCAATTTGCGGTAGTAGTAACATTCTTCCCGCTTTGATAATATGTAAACAATTGGATATGTTAGTTGGAAAGGATTCATTAAGAGACACAATAGAGTACGTAAATAATCCCTTACCTTTACTGACGTTGATTTGATGTACTCTTGCACGCTGCAGCCTAGTAAATATTTAGCTGCCTCTAATAGAATTACTGTCGCACGTCGTTCTCCTGCACAAACTTCAAGCCATAAGCAATACCTGCAAAATATGTGGAAGTATCTTTAATATAATTTGGTCAGTAATTAGTAAATATTGAATGGTGTTTTAAAGCAGTCGAACCTCATTTCATAATTGACATTCTCAGTATTACATTTGTTACAACTTGCAGTCTCTTCTATAAATTTCACTTTCTTGTGGCACCTTTTGCATGACGAATTCCATGGATCATCTTTATTTATTTAGTATGTCCTCAATTGTGACTTGGAACTTGTACATACAATCCTGCAAATTGACATTATACCATATTTGAGAATATACAATGAATTTTATTAATGGGTAGTGCAGGTATATGTTAGTGTGTACCTGTGCATCGACCAACAACCCATCCAAAATATGTTCCAACGATACTTCTATGGCTCTTGTCATTACCATTGTCAGTGTGATTATAATATCTTTGTTGTCGGCCTTTATGATTTCATGCTCGGATTTACAATGAGTTTACTAAACTGTATCACCCATTTAAAGTGAGGTCTGTTTGGTGCGTGGCACTATCGAATTTATATTGATTTTCTGAAACTTCACATGCACTATCAAATATTACTTGATAGTTGCGGGAGCGGGGGTAAACTAATAGTGGGAACATATTAGTGAATGTTTTAATGTACCATGCTCGAAGGTCGTTTGCTTTTTCAAATAGTGGATTGATCAAGATGTTGCTCACAGGAATAGTAGAGATTCCAAATCGGCCTAGTGCAACAGGACAATTTAAACAGTCAGAAACAACAATAATAAACATTTTATAGTTGATAAACACACACAATACAGTGTCGATACATTGTAGATTGATACTCTAACGTTACATAAGGCAATTATAGGCTTATCATCTTTCAGCTTTTCTAGGAATGCCCCGTCATTTTCTGCGAAATCTCCTCATAGAGTAATGGTTGTATGCTCCATGCTGGATTATTCGTCAAAAGTTAAAATTGAATAATGTTATGTAGCATTGCAACTTACAACTCATTTGTAACCACTATTTCTCGTCTCTTTGAATTTTCATTTTCGATTAGGAGATTCACCAAAAAAAATGCAAATCAAGTCTGCAATCAGATCATGACGATTAGTCAAAACGATAATGTAATGGGGCAACCAAATAAGAGGTAGATAGTGTGGATAGTTACCTAGAATAGGTAATTTATCAGCATGTTTAAACGAAGAGAAGCCATCAGAGAATTTGTCTGTTGGAACCTCATGTTCAGATTCCTTTATGATTGTAATGTCCGTGAAGGCCAATTCAACTTCTTTATGCACAGAAAAGTATATGAGGTTGACGTCTAAAAGTTCTTATAAAATGTAGTAACTCTTATTTTTCTTGAAGGAGTCCTTCCATGTTTCAATATGCTTATTAAATAGTGTGCCTTGATTATTTGTCCCCTATCATCGAGCAGCTTAGTGGTGGGATAAGTACCTCAAAGATGAACCATTGTAATTTAAGATAAATTAAAGCATCAACGTTGATACCTCTTTGTCAACTAATATTATCGTTATGTAAGTTCCTTCACGCCTTGAATTCTTGTTAGGTATAACATAACCTCTTCGAATAACTAAGACTCGCATGACTGAATCAACAGAGTTTTTAGGTATGTTGTTTATCGGTACAGTCTGTTTTGCTAGTTCCATTTCAGTTGTCATCTGGGTTGTATTTGATGAATGCTATTTTTGCAATATTAACAATGAACCAAGGGAATAAGTACGCTGTAGTCATAGCAATATTCAATGTGGGATGTGATGTACATTCTCTACTTTAAGAATGGTGGGAGAAATTGTATGGTGCAAAACAACAGCCGTGTTAATGAAATTTGAAATTAATAGCGCAATATATAGAAGGGAATGACTTACAACTTGATAAATACCAAAGCAAAGCCATATTTTGTGCTTCAAAATTTGTTGCATAGAGGACAAACAAATGAATTGGTTAAGTAAAAGGATAGATTCTTTCAGCGGAAATTTTGAAGGAGAAGGAATTAAATTGATGTAAACTTATGCGTTACTTGATAGGTGTTCAATGTGGAGAACCATCTAAGTTTCAGAGTTATATAGAGTGGGAACCAATGAGGTATGTCGGCTTGGAAAATCTGGTCAGACAAGTTTGTTGAAAGTGAAGGAGTTAGAAGTGGTGGCATTTGGTCAAGGTTGTGTTTTGCGTTTTGAAGTGGCGGCTTTTGCGAATGGGTGATTGGAATTCAGCGCAGGTGGTAAAGGGTGGGGTAATGGTATAATAGTAATTCAACTTTTAAGTTAGGAATTGATGCTTTTAAAGTAATATAGATAGATATAGATATAGATATAGATCATAACAATATCTTAATAAATGAAGTTGGACCACCAGAAGTTAATAACCAACAGATTAATCTCAGATCAAAGAATAATCACTTTCCTTAACAATGAAAAGCACACTACACCCCATTTGATAAATCCAATGTGCAAACAAGATTGAGGAGTTGAAATGGAGAACAAATCTGACACCCAAATCTTAACGATGAAACAGAAGCTTCCCCAAGAATGTCATCAAGCAGCCAAATAACAGAGAAAATAAATTGATTGAATTTAAAAACTTGGGTAGAATCTGGCGTACTCAAAGTTTTCACAATTGACAATAGAATCAAGTACTATCCACGTCACGACTGTGCCCAAAATGAAATCAGATCCAATCTCCAGATTGCTGGAAAATCAGACTTACACGTGCCACCTCATCAAAATGCTGGAAAATCTGTTACCGACACGTGAAAGTATTTACTTCTACTCCTAGAAAATATTTTAACTGTCCCAAGTCCTTCGTATGAAATCTCATATGCAGGAAAGACTTGAGGGATGCAATCAATGTCATCTACATATACAACAAGGAGCACAATGCCGGTGGTTGATTGTTGATATAAGATTGAGTGATCACATTTGCTCATTTTCAAACCAAACTCTTGAACCACCTCATTAAACTTTTCAAACCAAGCTCGGGGGCTCTGTTTCAATCCATACAAAGAATTCTTCAAATGACAACTTTCCCATACTCCCACTGAGCAACAAAACCAAGTGGTTGCTCCATATACACTTTCTCTTGAAGATTACCATGAAAGTGATGCATTCTTGATATCTAATTGATGTAAAGGCCAATTCTCGGAAGCAGCTAGAGAAATGAACAAGCGGACAAAAGTGAGTTTGATAACCGGAGAGAAGGTGTCTAAATAATCCACCCCATAAGTCTGAGCATACCCTTTAGCCACAAGTCTTTCCACAGAACCATCATGATTATTTTAACGGTAATCACCCACTTAGATCCTATTGATTTCTTCCCTTCAGGTAAATCCACCAAATCCCACGTGTAGTTTTCCCCTAAGGCATGTATTTCCTCAAGCATTGCATTAGACCATCTTGTATGACTCAAGGCCTCTTTCACTATCTTGGGGTACAAAGATAAAGTCTACAGAAGCAACCAAAGATCTAGAAGTGGAAGACCAACGGTCATAGGAAACAAAAGTAGCAGTTGAATATGTGTATTTGCAAGTAAGTGTACCTTCACAAAGTGCAATAGAAAGGTCAATGTTTTCAGAAGGATCAAGCAAAAAAAGATTTGATGATGAAGAAACTGGTGCCACACATTTATCACTGATGTCTCTTCTACTTGAGTAAACTTGAAGAATTGGTTATTTTGCTAGCGTA